AAAAAAAAAAATGTTTTTGTCATTTTCCAGAAACTTGTGGGATAAAAAATAAATCTTCCATGGACTCAATATGCCTCTCAGTGGATAGCTTAGGGTGTCTACTTTCCGAAAAGGGGTCATTTTGGGGTGTTTGTACTATCCTGGTATTTTTAGCACCTCAAGAAATGTGATGGGCAGTCAGAAAGTAAAAGCTGTGTAAATTCCATTATCTATACCATAGTTTGTAGACACTATAACTTTCATACAAAGCAATCAGTATACACTTATTGGGGTTTTTGTAACCAAAAACATGTAGCAGAATGACGAAATTTTAGTTTTTTTGGAAATTTTTTATGACTGAAATGAGAAAATATTCAACGGCGAGTTGACAGCTATGGACGGCAGGGGCCCGTACAGCTTGGAGTAAAAATGTTTAACGCTGCGCTCCCGGCCTCCCTGTCACTCGCTGACTGCAGTATCATGTATTGCTCTACAATTTTTACTCTCTCCCCCAGCCTGTGCCCACCTATAAATATACCATACCTCCTGTGCCCACACTAAAACTATCTGAAGGCCCAACCGAAACTCTCCTCACCCACCTGAAGCCCACCCTAAATCTATTAAATTCAGAACGCAATTTTTTTTTCAATTTTGTTTTTCTTCAAAACTTTTTCTGTTTTATAGCGCCAAAAATAAAAAGCATACAGGTGATCAAATACCACCAAAAGAAAGCTCTATTTGTGTGGAAAAAAAGGACATAAATTTCATTTATGTACAGTATTGCATGACTGCGCAGTTGTCCGTTAAACTAGCGCAGCGCTGTATAGCAAAAAAAGGCGTAAATTGCAGTATCTATACCATAGTTTTTAGACGCTATAACTTTCACAAAAAGCAATCAATATACACTTACTGGGATTTTTTTTTACCAAAAACATGTAGCAGAATAAATTTTGGCCTAAATTTATAACTAACTTTGAGTTTTACTATATATTTTTTATAGCTGAAAGTAAAAAATATCGTTTTTCCTCAACATTTTCAGTCTTTTTTTGTTTATAGCATGAAAAATAAAAAGCGCACAGGTGATCAAATACCACTGAAAGAAAGCTCTATTTGTGTGTGAAAAAAAGGATGTAAATTTCGTTTGGGTGCAGCATTGCATGACCGCACAATTATCAGTTGAATTAGTGCAGCGCCGAGTAGCAAAAAGAGGCCTGGTCATTAAGGGGGGTAAATCCTCAGGAGGGCAAGTGGTTAAATATGTCTACCTACATTTTTAAATTGGCAAAGAAGCGCCTTATGTTATTGACATTCATATTCTACTTTTGTTAATTTTATAGTCAGTTCTATTTCTGCTGAACAAAATGCAGACACACTTCCCGACAACATGGAAACAGACCCAAATAGCACAAAGATGAGTTCTGAACAACCAAATGCAAGCTCAAGTACGGATGAGCAACCTGAAACGTCTAAAAACGCAGCACAGTCTGACATGTCTGAAAGCTCCAGCCATCGGGAAACTGACAGCGATGACAACACAGTTCGGTTGCCTCCAAGAGCTCAGACTCAAAATAGGTGAGTTTAGAGCCAGAGCTCTTGTATTGTGTGCGGCATTAAGCCATAGTTTTTTCAAATGCTCAAAAAAAAAACCGCTCTGCACAATTAACTAAATGCAAAAAATGAAATCCAGTGTAAACATTAATGAGCTGCTGCCCGCACTGTATCCCACAGCTTTCAAAGAATATTTATACCATTAAAGTGCCAATCAGCAATATAAGACAGCTGTGCACTAAAAACAATTCATGAAAATTGCAAAAATTATCCTGTGTGCTGGAAATTTTATATAATACAACTGTGTATAGTCAAAAGCAGCAAGCAAAATAAATTTAATAAAAAAAAATAAGTCCAACATATTTGTTAGTGCCAGTAAGTTAACCTATGGTGTATAAAAAAAAAAACAAAAAAAAACAAATGAAGTAAAAGACTACATAAATTCAAAGTGTTGGCTTATCACAAGTGCCAGGGAATGACTGTGAATCCCCATATGCTGCACCTGTCACTATATGTTCTCACTTGGCGATATTGACCCATGTGAAAAAATAGATCTCAGGGTGTTTTTTTTTTTTTTTTTTGTAACTCCTGGACAACTCCAAAATATCCACCATGTTTTCGACCAATATGGTCCCTTAGACCAGCTAAAGCAACCAACTTCCTCCCAATGGTATACTTTACAGCATGTGGTTTAAAGAAATAAAAACCATCATACTTTCTTCTCTATTTAAAACCACTTTTATTGTATAAAAAAAAAAAATCACACCCACATTTATAGTGCATTCTATTCTAGTGTACCACAGCATAGGTCCCCTTAAAAAGATGTTTCCTGCACCTGCCATTCACCAACTTCCGGTTGTGCGCGCTGATGTCATAGAGTCTGCGTTCCTTCCCCCCCATCCCGGGGGAGTGCGGTGATATCATAGGCTCTGCCCCAACAGACTTCAGTAAAGATATCTGCCCTCCTTTTGATCCGATCTGTCTTTTTGACCACCTTTTGAAATTCTGAGTATTCCAAACACTGGTTTTTCAGTTCCCCTATTGCAATATCCATAATATAAAATAAATTAAAAATTCAACAGGGAGAGAGGGCGCTCATCATAATTGGTACGGCACATATGCAGACCTCAGAACCCAAGCCTTGAGATGTCTCCATTTTACACACTCAACCAGGTAGGGCGGCCCAGTAACAATGCCAGTGATTGGCTTATGTAACATACTGAAACAGGATAAAACATTGTTTTACAGGATACACCAAAAGCAGTGGTTAAGTGTGAATGGTACCAACAGTAATGTTTATTCTAAACTTGTAATATAGTTTTATGTGATCATGGACATCTTTTATTTATGGTCAGACATATACCTTGATCATTCAATTTCATTGAACTGTGGTATTTTTCTCACCTTGACAGATTTAATGTTGGAAGTCCATCACTAAGTGATAGGTTAACAAGGTAACTGTAAATTACACCGCTATGAAATGTACTAACTTGAGTGCATATTAACAGCTATTTGAGAAAACAGTCCAACAGGGTTTTATTGGAAAATGAGTGAGCAGGGCTACTTTAACATAGTTTTTCTTTATGTCCCTCATGGATGAGAACTTGTCCTGGCATGAAATCAAATAAACCCTTAGTGTCTGTAATGTAACTGTCATTCTGAATGTAGTTTTTAGGTTAGTGAAATACCCATACAGCTGATGTGTTTGATTTGCAGTGTGTGAACTTTTTTTTCCTGGTTTATGGGCTAGAAGACATGTATGCTATATTTGTTTCTCTTAGTATGTGCTTTGCTTGTTCATTGTGGTGTTCAAAACAAAAAAAAAAGTCTGATACTAAAAGTTTTTTGTTTCAGAAAATCAAATAGTCTTGAGGACATACAACTTTTGAGCTGCTTTAAGTTGTCATAGTTTTGGGCTAGGGGTGTCCCCAAGTTTTTTGTTTATGCAAAAAATGTTTTATTGAGATGAAAGTGATGGGCATATTCTGTATGGTCAAAAATATGTAAATCAGACCATTTACACATACCTACAGTATATGGCCAGATGTATGTGGACATTCTCTCCAAACTATTGAGTTCAGGTAGTCCCAGCATACTTTTAATGCTACACCACAGGGCACCATTTTGTGCTTCCATCCATTTGGCAGCAGTTTGGGGAAGGCCTTTTATTGTACCAACATATTTGCAGAAATCCAGGTCCATAAAGACATGGTTTAATGAATTTTATGTGGAAAAGGTCTAATGGCCTGCATACTGTCTTTTCTGCAACCCTAATGAGACCTGACCCTTTAGTCCTGACTTGAGATACATTAGAAATCTAATTGTGAGCCAGGTCTTCTCATCCCGCATCAGTACTTGATCTCGCAAATGCTCTTTTGACTGAGTACAAATTTCTTCAGTTACACTAAGATAGTGTGGGAAGCCTTCCTAAAGAGTGGAGCCAGGTATAGCGGCAAATGAGGGTGGGCAACTCCGTATTCATACCCATGGTTTTAGAATGAGATGCCCAACAGCCTTACATAAGTGTAATGGTTGTGTATACAAACCTTTGGCTATATAGTTTGAGGTTTAAAATTTGGGTTTGAAAGTTGTTTGGGCAGAAAAGGCAATCAGAATTAAATGAGATTTGGATATCATGCATACATCCTGAGTTGATAACCACAGAAGATTCAGCACAAGCAATGAGATATGGGCATAAAATGAATCCAAACACTTGAGGCAGGCTTCTGTTTTCTTTGACATCTTTCATGAGTTGCTTTGCCCATCTGTGAAAGTGAAGTCTAAGATTGATCTGCCGTTTAATGGAGTTTTTGTCCCTGCTAGTGCCACTAGATAAAAATTACATCTTAATGAGAGTTTAGAAGAGAGCTTGACTTTCTTCTGCTCACTAAATTGAAAGGTCAGATACTAGATTGCTGTGTTTCAGGACAAAGTAAAACCAGCTTGCTGTATCATGCCTGCCACCTATATAATAATGTACTGGTTGTATGGTCAGTTATGTGCATAGTTTTACCTTTCTACTAACAGAGTGCAATGCACGTTGTGTGCCAAGTGTGTGCTTCTTTTTTGGGGAAAGAAGTTGTGTACCTCTGTCCATACTAAAATTGTAAAACCGCATCCCATATGATACAGTGTGCAGCTGGAAATGTGACTCAGATCTTTTTTTTTTTTTTACAAATTAGAGCATGCAGTGTCTTTTATGTCTTTTTTTCCCCCTATTCATGAGCCTGGAATTAATTGGCAATTGTAATGCATTCAGAGGGAAGAAAATTAGACTATCCTTCTAGGTGATGGTCTTTTTTTTTTTTTGCTATTTAACCATTAGCCGCGTGGCCAATGGCCGTTTGGCGGCTTCAGAAGTGTCTCTCCATTCCGGGTGCACGCCATTTGGCGTGCTCCCGCTCATGCGCCGTTTGCGCTAATGCAGAGCGGCGCAGCAGTGCGATCTGTCACCGGCCGTGCACCTCGGACACGGCCGATGACAGATCCGAGTACCGGCTCCCATTTCTGGTACCATGTGACCTGCTGTGACCAATCACAGCAGGTCACATGACAGTTGTATACAATGGATGGCTTCATTCATGATGCCATCCATTGTATACTAGTGCCTAGCTGTGAATGGTCACAGCTAAGCACATGTCATGTGATTAGCTGTGACCAAATCACAGCTAAGCACAAAAAAAAAAAAAAAAAAAAAAAAAAGCTGAATGAATCGATTTCATTCAGGTAAATGCTTGCTTATAGCAAAGTAATTCTTTGCTATAAGCAAATTGTGTAAAAAAAAAAAAATAAAAAAAAAATACTGATCACTTCCCCAAAGTAGTACAATGTTACTATGGTAACATTGTACTACTTTGGTCATAGTAAAATATGAAAAAAAAATCTTAAAAAAAAGTAAAAGAAATGTAATAAAAAATTAAATATAATAAAAAAATAAAAAAAAATAAAAAAAATATATATATTTTTTTTTTTTTCATACTGTCACCAGTCAGTGTCCCTGTTCACCGCCATGCCAGTTATATGATGACGCTGTACTGCACTGGTGACAGTATGTAAAAAAAAAAAATAGTGAAAATAATGTTTTTAATTTTTTCATTATGAAAAATTATGACAAAAAAATACAACTTCAAAAAACTCGCCATGCCTCTTATGAAGTACGTCGGACTGTCTACTCTGCAAAAAGGGGTCATTTGGGGATATCTGTACTATTCTGACATTCTTGGACCTTGAAATTAGATTGGCTGTCAGTACTTCAGGACTGATCAATATTCAGATCTATACCATAGTTTGTGAACTCTATAACTTTCCTACAAACTAAATAATACATCCTAATTTGGGTTATTTTCACCAAAGGCATGTAGCAGAATACATCTCGGCCTAAATTTATGAAGAACAATTATTTATTTGTTAACTTTTATAACAGAAACAAAGAAAAATGTGGGTTTTTTTTCAAAATTTTTGGTCTTTTTTTGTTAATTTCGCAAAAAAATAAAAACCCCAGCGGTGATTAAATACCACCAAAAGAAAGCTCTAGTTGTGTGAAGAAAATGATAAAATTTTAGTTTGGGTACAGTGTTGTATAACCGCGCAATTGTCATTCAAATTGTGAGAGCGCTGAAACCTGACAAAGATTAGTGCAAGTTAAATGGATTTTTAAATTGCTAAAAGTGGAAAACACATTTTTATTCAATTTTTCAATCTTTGGTTCGCATGAAATATGGACTGACAGGGCTGTAATAAGCAACCTGTTAGTGGTCTTTCCTGGTGGTGTTTAACCACTTACAGACCACCCGCTCACAGTGTACTGCGGACAAGTGACCCACACAAGCAAAGCAACATACCTAAACGTTGCTGCCTGCCTCAGGGTTTAGGGCATGCACATGCGTGCCCCCCGCCAGCACCCGTGCCGGCACCCACTGTGATTGTACACAGGGGAGCCTGTTGTCAAGTCCCCGCCAATGATTCATGCCCGGGACCTGCTGATCGGCTGTGTACAATCACAGCCCAGAGCTCTTCGTTGACAATCAGCACACATCTCTGTACAGAGGGAATGAGCTCTGTACAGAGGAAGAGATCTATTATTAAATTGGCAAAAGCCGAACACTTTACACATATTACACGTAGGCACACATTTAACCCCTTGATTTCCCATGATGCGAACTACTTTCCAGACAGTATCTTTAGTATAGTGACAGTGTAAAGTATTATCCCTGATCACTGTATTATTGTCACTGGTAATGTCTGTGTGAGTCAGTTCCCCCAGCATCCGTGTCACATTGCCCATCGCAGTCTCATTGTAAGTGGCTCATCACTGCCATTCATAGTATAAAAAAAAATTCACTATATATACCATAGTTGTAGGCGATATAATTTATAATTTATTTTTTACATTTTTTTTGGGTATGTTTTGTAGTAAAAAGTAAAAAATGCTTTTTTCCTAAAGTTTCTTTTTTTTTTTTTTTTTTTTTTTCCCATTTTTTTATTGCAAAAAATCCCAGTGATGATCAAATACCACTAAAAGAATGTTCTGTTTGTGTGAAAAAATTATATACATTTTGTTTGGGTATAGCGTTGTATCACCGCACAATTACCAGTTAAATTAGCACAGTGCCATATAGCAAAAAAAATACCTGGTCATGAACTAGGTAAAATCTTCCAGAGCTCAATTGGTCAAGGAAACTTCACTTGCCTGAGGAAGAGGTCCTGTGAGACTGAAACGTTGATTCTGTAATTCTGATGTGATCGTTGAATAAAGCTATGGTCCCCTTTTGGAGATCGATCCTGGTGTGCTGGTGACATTTCTCATGTGAACTTCTGGGTTACACCCAGATTGGGACACCATGCAACAAAACCAGATTTCTTTGAATTCTTAATGGAACTTAAATGACCCTATTATTTTATACCTTCTGTTCTGAGAAAATGCCTATGTTTCTCTCCCGTGAATTGTACATTGTTAAATATGTATTCAGCCTCTCATTTTTATACTGTTTTAACATGCAATATATGCGAAAAACTTATTGAAAGTAAGTTGGGAAGTAAAAACAATGGAGAAGAGGGTTGTACCTATTTGATCTCTTCAAAAACTGTCAGGTATTAGCTTTAAGGAGCAGATGAACTTGTAGTGCTTAGGTCCATGTTGCTGCCCAAATTTTGGATTGATGGGTATTCATTATGAACTGAAAAAATATTTTTTTTTTGTCATAATAGGAGTCTAGTTTCACTTGGATTTGAGCAGCCACATATATTCAATGTGTTAAGGATATTCACCTTAATAAAATCATTTTTTTGTTTCCTATAATATGTGGAGTGACTCGACTATGAACTTTTTTTTTTATGTATTTAGTGATCGTAAAGCTTTTTTTTTTTTTGTGTAAAATAATAGGCATGTTATTTTCACCTGCTCTGTGCGATGGTATTGCACGGAGCAGCCCTGAACCTCTTCTGGGGTCCCTCACCGGTGCTCTTGGTTCCTCTTCTTCTGTGTGCCGCCATAGCAAGCCACTTGCTATGGGGCACTCCTGCGGGCTCACTCACAAGCTGAGCTGTGTGCATGTCCATAGGCATAAATAGCTTGACCCTGCCCCCACTGCCTCCTCACAGATTTTGACTGACAGCAGCAGGAGCCAATGGCTCCCACTGCTGCCTCTATTTCTTGTAAATGCAGGAGGAGCGGGGCTGCCGGCAGGGACAGCTCTGGATCGAGAGTGCTGACAGGTAAGTGTTTAGGTAGTGTTTGGAAGGTTTTTTACCCTAATGCAGAGAATGCATTTAGGTATAACTAAAGGCAAAAGGTTTTTTTTTTTTTTTTTCATTTTTTTTTAAGTTTTGGATAGAATGGAGAGGGATTCAAACCCCTGTCAGTTTTGATTGTTGTCTGTGCCCCCTGTTAAGGAGAATCACCCTCCCTATTTAACATTACAGTATTATTGAAAGTGGAAGTAAAAAAAATCCTAAATTTTGGGTTGTCCCCAGAAAAGTAATAGGGGAAATCTGCCAATGGGGACACTAGTTGTGGGGACCTGGGGGGCCCCAAGGGATTCCCTTAATGAGCAGGGGTTTCCGCTCACTTCCTGTTCAGCTATGGGACAGGAAGTGAAAAAAAAAAATCTGTCTGGTTATAACCCCCATAGTTCTACTTTAAAATTAAAAAAAAAAACCAAAAAAACTGATTTAAGATTCAGGTATTTAGGTCAATGGTGCTTTTTCATTCTCATACATACTGTATTGTATTATAGAGATGAGCTCTATTACATGCAGGTGTGTGTGTTTTTTTTTCCTTTTTTCTTTACATTTACTGTGGGCAGCCATTAAAGATTAGCATTTTACAGTAAAACCGTTTCTACCTTTTTTATCAGGAGCAGCGTGGAAAAATATCAAAAATATCCTCTACACCATTAAAAAGTTCTTTAATGCACTTTAGTGATCTCTCCTGCCCCTCTTGCATTATTGATTAATCCTTGTCTCTCATTTAGTTGCCACATACCTGCTACCTGCTGTACAATATTTATTTTCCTGTTTACTTGAATACCAGCATTTTCTGCTGACAAAAATATAACCAAAGCAGTGACTGCAAAGGGTGGCAAAAGGAGGAGTCTGGGATACACTTGTAGCAGACTAATTTTCAAGAACACACTGCTTTGAATTTTTTGATAAAATAGCACACATTTAAAATAAATCTATGATAGAAATGCGGAAACTGGCACTGCTGACTTGTTTTTGAAGGTACAAACTCAAGGGCTGCCAGGCCTAAGCTGGCCATAGACTGTTTAAATCTCAGCCAATTCAGCAGGGGCCGGACGAGATTCGAACCATGTATGGGCAGGCTGAATGTACCCAAGTTGATCGATCAACTTGGGTACAACCAGCCTGTTGGATTTTACAAGTGTTTATTGCTATTCGCTAGCAATAATCACTGTGTTCTCATGGCAGAGAGGGCTCGATCATTTTCCTTCCACTTCACAATTATGTGCCACTTTGTGTTTTGGTCTATCACATAAAATCCCAATAAAAAACATTTCCATTTTTGGTTGTAACATGACAAAATGTGGAAAATATCAAGGGGTATGAATACTTTTTCAAGGCACTGTCACAAATACAAGAATATAGCTATTAACCATGGAACATGCCCCTTCAAAAACAAGTCTGCAGTGGCCCACTATCTCAGTTGTAGTTATCTCTTTCATACTATAAACCTTTGAATTGCCTTTGGCTTTTGCAGAGTTTTCGTTTACCTTCTCGATAGCTTTTACTTTCCATCTCCTGGCACCAAGCTTTCTTAGGCGTTCTTCCATTTCATTGATCCATTTGAACTATGGCCACTTTTTTTTCTTTGCTCCTGGATTTCAAAACCTCCAGGGAGTTTGAAAAAGTTGGCATTAGTATTGTTAGATATTGTAGAAGACAGGAAGTGGTTGGAAGATCATTGATTTATGGAGGGTAGCTATCCTTGGTTTGCCTAACATGCAAAATGGGTCCAAAGGGACTTAGATATTTGTACAGTGCACCTCAATTGAGACCAATTTCCAGATGTTTTTCGGTTATATAGACAGTATCCGAAGTTATGACCATGTGAACCACATTCCTTTGTCCACATGCCCTTGGGATCATCATGGATGTCTGATGATAGTTTGTTGTTAGGTGAAGGGTGCTTATTATCGCATACAGTAGAGCTAACTCCCATATGGGTAGGAAATGTAACACTGATGTGCTGCATTAGCAGTCCCAAACATCAAGTACTATCTTAGCAGAAATACATTTTTGGGTTCCACTTTTAACACTGAATGTGGATATTGGGAGAGAATCCCCACACAAATTGATGTTTGTGGTCTAAAATAGATTGCACAAATTGCCAAATTATTTTCACATTTCATATCTAGTCTTTCCAGAAAATATATTTGTTTTCTTTTATTTTGAGTGTGTCCACCTCTGGACATTGATGACTAAATTCAGCAAAAGAACTGTTGGCAGAAGGGGATGTTTAGAGGAGTCAGCAGGTTCTTTATTTTTCAGGAACCATAAAAATCATCTCTGCTTTCTCTTGCTTGGTCTGTAAAGTTTAAAAGCTGCTCTGCTTATAGAACATACTCTGTGCTGTTTCCAGTATATGCATATTCTAATTCCCATTACTTTTTACAAAAATAACCATATGACACAAGGGCTGCAGCTAGTACAAATGGACGTCCATTGCAAGGTTGCCTAGGGAACATGATGCCAACTATGGCCCTGGACAATCCATTTCTTGGTAAAAAATAAATTGTGTCATTTAATGAGGGTAATCCCTCATTCAGGGTGACTTTGCTCTCACATCACTGTCACTAGGCAGTTTATAGGTTATTTCACTGTCTACCACCAGTAAACACTGATAGTAGTTGATGTTGGCCTTAGAAGTTAGTAGTGGCTATTCCTACATTGCTGTCCTAGTAGTTTCCTTTGAAATATTTCACAGAAGATTTGGGTTATTAGATTGAAACATTAAGTATCTTATATTTTGCTAGCGTTTTTAAAGTTCTGAGAGTTCTCCTTTCTGTAATCAAATAACGATGATGTGTTTTTAAATGGTGCCATTATTTTTGTTTAACAGGTGCCCCCTGTGATCAGCATGTCACACACTCTTGCATCCTCATGCTTACAGGGGAAAACACAAAAATAATGGGACATAGCACATTTCTGTGCAACATCTAGAAGAGAGTTTGTTTTTGCATTAAAATAAACTGGGTTATGTGTTGACAAAACACCTTTTTCTAATTTGATTGTTGTTAATTGAAAAAAAAAATGCAAATTATTGCAGTTATTTACCAGTTAAATAAAGGCCTTTTTTAAATTCAATTTTGTATTCAACCTAAAAAAATTAAAATGAAGAAAAGGAAAAAAAAAATCAACAGGAAAATAATCAAGTGGAGGAAATTAATTAGTGCTGCTTAGGGAAAGCTAAAGATTAATAAGCAGTTAAATAGCCAACTGAAACCAACCAACAAACTGGTTAATAGAAGCAGTTTGATATTTGTTTTTGTTATGTAAGCAATATGCCTGAAAACAATTACAGTTCACTACTTTATTAGTGTATTCCAGTTAGTACAGCAGTAGCTATGGTGGTGAAGAATACTAGTTTCCTGAAATAATGTATTTGTTCTGTAGGAGATCTGCTGCAGCTCGAATTCAAGAACTGTTTAGAAGAAGGAAAGAGAGAAAGGAACTGGAAGAATTGGATATGCAAAATGTTCGTCAACCATCTTCTAAAATCGTGTTTAAGGGGCATCGGAATTCCCGGACTATGGTAGGAAGATGTTTTCAAAGGCTGACTATGTCCAGGAAGAGAAGTCCTGTGTTATGTTCTGGTGATCATTTATTGCACACACCATCATAGCTGTCTCTGTTATCTATCTGTCAATATAAATGGGACATCTGTGGTGCTTTGATTCAGGTGGACCCAGCATTAGATATTTTCTCATGTTAAGTGCAACCATGCTCGCTAATGTGCATGTGAAACACAAACCTGTATTTATTACTCCTTACTGAGATCACAGTACCCCCCCCGGCAATGCCTTTTTCTAGTATCTAGTAAGCATAATCCAGGGCCTGCATCTACTTTCCTGGCTTAGATGCTGACTCATTGGCACAGTTATATACAGTCATGGCCGAAATTGTTGGCACCCTTGATATTTCTCCAGGAAATCATGTATTTCTCACGAAACGTATTGCATTAACACAGTTTTGCTATACACATGTTTTATTCCCTTTGTGTGTATTGGGACAAAAAAAAAAAAGGGAGGAAAGAAAGCAAATTCGACATAATGTCACACAAACCTCCAAAAATGGGCTGGACAAAAGTATTGGCACCCTTTCACAACTGCGGATAAATAAGAATGTTACAAGCATGTGATGCTCCTGTAAACTCACCTGGGGCAAGTAACAGGTGTGGGCAATATAGAAATCACACCTGAAAGCAGATAAAAAGGAGAGACGTTCACTTAACCTTTGCATTGTGTGTCTGTCTGTGCCACACTAAGCATGGGACAACAGAAAGAGGAGACGAGAACTGTCTGAGGACCTGAGAACCAAAATTGTGGCAAAATATCAACAATCTCAAGGTTACAAGTCCATCTCCAGAGAACTAGATTTGCCTTTGTCCACAGTGCGCAACATTATCAAGAAGTTTGCAACCCATGGCACTGTAGCTAATCTCCCTGGTCGTGGACGGATGAGGAAAATTGATGAAAGATTGCAACGCAGAATAGTCCGGATGGTGGATAAGCAGCCCCAAACATGTTCCAAAGACATTCAAGCTGTCCTGCAGGCTCAGGGAGCATCAGTGTCAGCGCGAACTATCCGTCGACATTTAAATGAAATGAAACGCTATGGCAGGAGACCCAGGAGGACCCCACTGCTGACACAGAGACATAAAAAAGCAAGACTACAGTTTGCCAAAATGTACTTGAGTAAGCCAAAAGCCTTCTGGGAAAACGTCTTGTGGACAGATGAGACCAAGATAGAGCTTTTCGGTAAAGCACATCATTCTACTGTTTACCGAAAACGGAATGAGGCCTACAAAGAACAAAACACAGTACCTACGGTAAAATATGGTGGAGGTTCAATGATGTTTTGGGGTTGTTTTGCTGCCTCTGGCACTGGGTGCCTTGACTGTGTGCAAGGCATCATGAAATCTGAGGATTACCAAAGGATTTTGGGTCGCACTGTAGGGCCCAGTGTCAGAAAGCTGGGTTTGCGTCCAAGATCCTGGGTCTTCCAGCAGGACAATGACCCCAAACATACGTCAAAAAGCACTCAGAAATGGATGGCAAAGAAGCGCTGGAGAGTTCTGAAGTGGCCAGCAATGAGCCCAGATCTAAATCCCATTGAACACCTGTGGAGAGATCTTAAAATTGCTGTTGGGAAAAGGTGTCCTTCCAATAAGAGAGACCTGGAGCTGTTTGCAAAGGAAGAGTGGTCCAAAATTCCGGGTGAGAGGTGTCAGAAGCTTATTGATGGTTATAGGAAGCGACTGATTTCAGTTATGTTTTCCAAAGGGTGTGCAACCAAATATTAAGTTAAGGGTGCCAATACTTTTGTCCAGCCCATTTTTGGGGTTTTGTGTGACATTATGTCATATTTGCTTTTCTGCCTCTGTTTTATATTTGTTCCAATACATACAAAGGGAATAAACATGTGTATAGCAAAACATGTGTTAATGCAATACCTTTTTTGTGTGAAATACTTGATTTTCAGGAAAAATATCAAGGGTGCCAACAATTTCGGCCATGACTGTAAGTCTGGTGCCTGGGCAGCTCTTGGCTGTACACACAAATGTCTCATCAAATTCTGCTGCAGAGATTTGAACTTGCAACACTTTAAAGCCCAACTCTGGCCTCTCGCCCTTTAAAAAAAAATAGGATTTAGTCCGGTGTTAGCATTTAAGGTGACAGGAGAGAATAATTGTGTGGTTTCCTAACAAGCTGATGACTGTTATACCTTAACACCACGCTACAAATGACAGCAGACAAAAAAAAGTAAGCCTTATCAAGCTGCTAATAGTTTATATCTTAATCATGCAGAACAGGACAAAGGCTGAGTATTCATAGCTCCCTGGGCATATACCCTTTAACTTTACCCTTTTGTGAGTCCTCCATTTTTTGCAAATGTCCTAACATGATGGACCTCTTCTTCCATATAGAGAAATCACTCTTGGACTAACTACTTTATTTTATCCTTGGATTCTTCAATCAACTATTTGCTGGCGTCTAATACACCAATAAAGGCAGTGCATCTGGAATAGTGCATCCTCGCTAAAACTTGGGAGCTGTACCTGGGCCCCACGTTGTGGGGGACGACCTGTAATGTTGGTTCAGGCACTGGTTCCTGCATGGGTGCTCACCTTGGCACTTTGTGAAATGCCTGTTGTTAGCCACAGGATGCTATATAGGTTCATGGTTGTGGTCCATACCAATGAAACCCAGACCCTGATTAAGGCAGATTTTTATGCAACTATGTCACAATTCCTTGGTCAACTAACGGCTTTAATACAGCCATCGCTGTCCAGGGCTCCAAAAGGCCAGACTCCTACTCCAGCTCCACTGTCTCTACCTGAGTCAGATCCCAATATGCCCTGCCTAGAAGAGGCTGCTATAGAAGGTAATGAAGAGCACTTGGAAGCGGTGCTAGGTTAGATTTTGGAAATTTTCTCACCCCCAGACTTCAATACGCTTGATGTTGCAACTTCACACAATATGCTTGCCAATGTGGATATTCTCACTTCTACTGTGCACAAAAGCCTTGACAATGTTGCACTTGACTCTCCCCTGTCTTGCCATGCAAAAATGGTACAAAAAGACCTTCCCAGTTCCAAAAAACTTTCCCAGTTCATGAACAAATACTCAGCAGTTTATTACAATTGGGTCAATGCTAAAAAGATTTCGGACATCACCCTTCCGAAAATCATTGCTGAGCTGTATCCATTGCGTTCACAAAAGTAGTCTGTTCTTGAAATACAGCTTGCGGTCAGTCCTAAAACTCTCCCTGAGACTGTACCAACTGAAGATGTTCCTTCATTCAAAGATTTTGCATATAGGAAGTTTGAAATGCTCCTAAAGACTTTACGCTTGCAGGCCTAGCTTTGCAACCAGCCATTGCTGCAATTTCTGTCAGTCGAACTGCAGCTAATTGGACTAAGGAATGAACAACCAACACAATCCTGTACTCCGGGTTTATGCTTTAACTCCACAATTATCTTGTGTCCTGCTCTTTTGCTTGGATGCCCTAGAACAGGGGTGGCTAACCTGTGGCTCTCCAGCTGTTGTGGAACTACATTTCCCATGAGGCATTGCAAAGATGGGAAGTTACTGACTTGCAGAGGCATGATGGAACTTGTAGTCCTGCAGCAGCTGGAGAGCCGCAGGTTGGCCACCCCTGCCCTAGAACAAGTAATAACACAAATTTCAAGAAAAGCTCTGATTTACATCTGCGGTATCTTGTGGCTCAAAGCCTGGTCAGTGAAGGCTGCCTGTAAGACACCTCACACGTATGCCCTTTAAAGGAAGATGACTCTTTGGTGAGGTTCTTGACAAATTCATTAAAGATGTCAAAGGAGAGAAGGTTCCTTTTTCCACCACAGAAAATGCTAAACCCTGCCTCCTCAGAAGTCTCTACTTCAAAATGAAGAGCACCTCAATGCTTTACCCATGCTTCAAATTCAAAAGTTGAGTTTAGCCCTTCCTTTCAGAATAAGACTTGACCACAAAGCCCACCAAGTTTTCCCCAAAGCCCTCTTGCCAATGAAGGAGATGGTGTGTAGATGTCTATGTTTGCGCTGGTTTATTCATTATTTAAAGTGTAGAAAGCACTGACAAAAAGGATAAATTCTTTCTTCTTTCTTTCTTCTATTCTCCGTGCAGCCGGCAGCTACATCAACGTTTAATTGATTGTCTGCTGCTGCAAACTGTAGAAAGCATTGACAAAAAGGATAAATTCTTTTTCTTCTTTCTTTCTTCTATTCTCCGTGCAGCCGGCAGCTACATGAGAATGCCAGGAGGCCAGACACTGGCCGAAGGTCTGAAAGAGGAAGTTCTGCCATCCTCTCTGAATAGTGGGGGCAGTGCAAGCACTGGGAGGAGGTGCAGCTGTGATCTCTGTGAGATGGAAGTGCTTTAGCACACCTCAGCATCCCCCTAGCACCATCCCGATGTGCTGTTGACAAGCAGCATTGGGCACTTGGACAGGATGCCCTAGGTGGTTTGGACCCTGGCTTTGGTGGGCCACAACTGAAACCTTGGGGGATGCACCACCCCCTTGCACCCCCCCCTAGATCCAGCCACAAGGCGAATACCTGTTGGGCTTTACTATCGTGAACATGTTTGAAAATAATTCTTTGAACTTGTCCTGTAGGAGTGTTGTCACAACTACTTCTGGGACAAGAAATGGTTTAGGGCATTCTGCAAATTTGACAGTCCTTGGGCAGATTCTGGTTGATTTGAAAGAAGAAAGCAGTGAGGGGGTAGAATTTTGAACTTTATTTTGTACTCTTAAAACCACTGATTCAACCAACAGGTCTGGGATGTCTGTGGTCTTGGGAAAGGCAAACTATAACAGACTCACAGACTCTTAGGAGTGAGGGCACTCCTTAATATCGTTATTCAAACTAAGGATTATTACCACTCACATTTTTTTTCTCTTTCAAAAGGCATGTTTATTTAAAAACACAGCATCTTCCAAACCAGTAGTGAAAACTGTTTTTGCCTCCTCAGAACTCTCACATCACAGCCCAGGATACAGCAGCAGCTATAC